ATGAACCTACCGAGGGATTATAATAACCATTTTTTTAACGATTGATATTAAGTGCTGCAATTCTCCCTGGTGCAGTTTTTCAGCACATTAGAAGTCAGATTGCTATCAGTACATTCTGGTAATTACCAACCGAAGTGTTTTCATTGGAAAGCAGCCTTGTTCACCAACACAACAAAAGCCATGAGCAGAAATGTCAGTAGAAGAGGCAGTATTTGAAGTCTACTTTAACGTGAAGTAGAATCTTAAGGGCTCATCTTTCTTTTTGGCTTTTGGTATCACATCTTGTAGTATACTTTTGTATGATGCAGACTGCAATACATACTGTACAAGGAATGACTGAACTACCTGACAAGCTCTGACATGTGTACAGAGAACATTTATCTTCAGGGACCAAATGATTGTCAACACTGGCTTCCTTCTTGACTACTTCATGCTGCAGCAGAAAGACGGCAGCCAGAAATTATTTTTCTGTAATTTGTTCTATTTTAAATTTGCTCATCATAATTTGTATCATCATTTATGAAATATACAGTACAATATAATCATCGTATACACATAGTGCACTATTTCTGCAGGTGTCTGATGTTTGAAGAAGAACACTTGAGCTACAAATATTTTGCTTATTTGCTTTAATGGGTTAGCTTGCTGTAATATCTTACTAGCCGGAGTTCCTAGCTAACTCTGCCTAGGTTACTTCAAAACACACATAACTAGACATTTTCTTATTGGACCCACCTCCTACCACATTACAAATTAAACTAACAAAACATTCCTACATGATATTCATTTCTCAATTAATATATCCTATAATTTGTGCACTCTGTGCCTGGGATGAGATAAAAAGCCACAATGATATGTAAAGCTACACCTGATAAAACACGTATGTCCCCAAAACCATCTTCAGTTTTTGTCTCTACGGAGCTGATAGCTTGTGACTGCACATACAGTATATATATAGAGGCAGCTTATAAACATACAGTAGTTGGACTATTCAAGGTTCTGTATCTTTAAAACTGTGTATGGCACAGCATTGAACTTTGGTGCCCAAGGAAATGGAATTGTTCAGACAATGAAGGCACATGCCTATAAGCTAATATATTGAGTGTATAGAACAATCTTGTCTTGATGTGATCACCAGTTTTGTCCATAGCTTGCATATGTGTAAGGATGGTAAAGTATCTAGATGTACTGTATAAGGCTGTTCAGTGGCTTTAGTCATTGTCAAAGGAAATATGTTTATTCCACTGCTAGGTTATCATTTTTTTGTGCACAAAATTGCATTGCTTCATTATGCAATTTTAATCTAGCTTTATCGTTTGATGAGTACTCAGCTTTAAAACAACGTTATTTGTCTTAATTTCCCTTGGATAGCAGAAGAATCTACATCAGTAAATGAACTGTCACACTGTGTAAGACAGAAGAAGTACAGAGCAGTGCAGTGCTGAATACTTGTATAGCAACTGCACAGTTTAGGATCTAGTATGTGGTCTGAACAGTTGAGTTTTGTTGAGGTGTTTGAAGCATTGAGTGACAGTGTAGTCCCGATGTTCACTGATAGCATATTCCAATAAAGAAGACAAAGAAAGACAAGGAGAAGACATTAGTTTGGAAACCAAGGGGAAGGAATGAATAGTCAGGCAGCAGAGGATATATATATATATTTTTATATCTATTGGTGAAATATGACACAAATACAAGGTATTTGTGAAGGGAAAAAACACCATTCCATTCTTCAATGTCATCTAATAACCTCAGAAAAGTGACTTCTGGTTAAAGGTTTTTCTTTTATTATGACCCTAAACGCACAGCTAGACTGAACCTGAATTACTACAATCAGAAAGAACAGGTTACAAAATGCATGGACTGGTCATGCCAGTTCCAAAGCCTGAAATCCATTTCAATGTTGAGATGAGCTTTATAAAGGACTAGGAATAATGTAACTAGAATAAATATACTCTGGCATATATTAACACCAATAGCACAGAAATAAAAAAATATTACACTAAAGTCATGCAATTTCCCTCACGGGATCAATAAAGTATCTATCATGTCAAGAATGCCTGGATAATTGTTTAATTATAACAGTTTACAAGGAGGATAAAAATCAAATAAATGACTGTTGTTAATTCAGTTCTATCTTGACTTTGTATCTGTTGCATTTTTGTTTGAAAAAGCTAATAAGCTGTCATCTTCTGTGTGATTCTTAGTTGTACTTCAGTATGCTTGCCCCAGTATATCCATAATATCTCCAGGCAAATCACTCCATTTTCATTGACAGATATACAACACACACTGGTAGACTGCACTGTGCATACAGTATGAACATATAAGATACTTATTACTCATCATCATTATGCCACTGCTACTCAGTTTTGTTGTCCAACATGTTGGAAATGTCAGTGCCAAACCATGACTGTCAAATTGAACAATAAGCACAGTATAACTTCACATCTAACTGGGACACTACTTTGGTATAGTATAGAATAAAGCATATAAAAACAGGTAATGTATAGTACCATACAGGCAGAAATGGTGCATGACTGGTCAAATTTATCAGAGTATGGCATTTTTGGCACAGAATTGCCGACATGAGGAAATAAATTATTAATAAATTAAATTGGGTTCTGGGAAAATACTGGATACATTCTAGAAATGTTTTGATTTTTTCTTACTTGAAATGTTTATATTTGGAAATTGATAAAAATAAATTAACATATAATAAATCAGAACCTTTTACACAGGAACATAAGAATAGTTACAAAGTAGAGGACAGACCATCCAGCCATCTCTAGCTTATTTAGTTTCTGGCAGCTAATTGATCTGGTGATCTCATGATTTCCAGCAATTTTTTTTTTATAAGAAGCCATAGCACCAGCATCAATAACATGGATGGATATCTTGTTACACACTCACACAACGCTTTGTGTAAAAATGTGCCATGTGTCTTCAGTTTTAAATGCACTTTGTCATAGTTTGCATGTGTGTACTACACTGGCTTTTACTGTCCACTTACAATTGCTAATGTAATATTTTTATATGTATCTTCTTCAAGTGTTTCCCATTCCATATTTGCTACTTGCTGACTTATATCTGCTTTGGTACATCTTCTGTTGTTTAGCCCTCCTTCTTCGGTAGAATCCACAAACATGACTAATGTCTTATTATTCCAGTAACTATATAATTGACGCACATTCTGAAGAGCTCCTAATACTGATCTCTGTGGTGCTCCACTTATTACAACACACCACAGGAACATTCAGTCCTTATCTGAAGTCTACTCTATGATTTGTATCCATTAACCCGTTCTTAATCTAGGTACACAGATAATTTTGAGGGCCTAATTATGACAAATTAAGATTTATTAGGAATTTCATCAAAGTTCAAAGAATTCTAACAAGTTACTTAAACCAAACATTTTTCAAATAAAGGCATAATACATTAGCAATTTTGCAGCCAATGATTATTACCCTTGTCTCACATGATTGCTGGTAGAGCTTTACAGGTCTATAAATAACATCTCTTGTTTCCATAAGCACAACTGAAAGATGCAAAACATGTACATAATACATACTAATATTATATAATATGGAACTTTATCTTTCCTTAGCCTGTAGAGATGTTCTTGATTCCTTGCATGATAAACATCTGAGTGAAACAAGCATTTAATACATCTGCCATTTCCATTTTATTGCCTAGAGTTCCCATTATTATCTCTGAGACACTTTCTTTCAAAATCTTTTACTATTGTCAGAACAGTTCTTACCTAAAATATCAAGCATTGCCAAAGTAGGTACACTCCTAATGTTGCGTATTATTTTAAAAAATAAACTTAGTTTAATGAGGCAGTGGTTTTATCAATTGCAGAAATATAGCTGCTTTTTTCATCCTTCTTCTTTTCACTCCAAAGGAACTCAATTGAACAGAACGGAGTTTTATGCTGCTGTTTGTCTAATTTGCTTGTTTTTGGGAGGAGGCAAAAATGAAACCAGAACTGTAACGGGAGCTGTCTGCTAATTTTTCCGTGCTTATAACTACGACATGAGGTTAGGTTCGGTCTATGCATATAGCAGAGCGAATTAATCCCTGGTTGAGAGTGAAAGGATTTGAATTTGGCTCCTCAACCTAGACGCATGCGTACTGAAGTCGCATGCTGGCTTCTCCAGAGCAGCTGTTTTGGGTTTGAAATTCCAACATGGCAGAGGCTGTAGTCCGTCTTCCCTTCAGAAACTTGGAATGATTTCAAATCGCAGGCATCCTCGCTTAACCCTAGCACCCATTCATCAGCAAACATATCGGATCGATGTTACTCTAACCTCCGAGGCTGCTCTGCCACACATACAGGTAAGAGTTTACATGGGTATCTTTGAGATCTGTGCAGTTTTTTAATAAAAAAAAATACGTGAGCTATGCCACGGAAGAGCGATTGCTTTATGTTTTAAAACACCCCTTAAATGCTCATCTGCATCTCCCAGAATTTCTGCTCTTTTCATTCAAACGGAGCAAAGTGAAATTGAACTAAAAAGCTGCGATTCCACTTGGCTTATGATTGCAAAGTATTTTAAAGCGTTTGGACTCTGCTGTGGTTAAAATAAGGTCCACACACGTATTTCCTTTAGGTTTCCAGTGTTTGCTATTTAATAAGAAAGTGAGAGTGGGGTGGGGTTTGGATTGTTTCAAACTAACTTTTACGGTGATGGGAAGTTGATGTAACTAACATTGGAAAAAAAGTTGCGGCGATCACTGCAGACTTATAGCTGTAAATAAATACAATGTCACTAGTCTCTCGTTGTGGGGGCAACTGCAGGCGCATAATCTATTTTTAAAGTAGAGGGGGACAGCGTGGTGGGTGTAACGTTTCCTCAGAAAGCCAGAGAAAATGTGTATTTTTAATGGCATCTCTAGTCCTCTGATCCTGTTCCTGCCCTCCCCGAAGCTCTTGGTAGTTTCAACGGGAGCGAGTGAAATTGACATGGACTTGCATTCTTGGTCATGTGCTCGCTTTTTCCCCCTTCTTCTTTCTTTCTTCACTTGTTATCCAAGAGAGCTTTTGTTGATGTTGCTTTCCCCTTAATTATATGCATGTAGGTTAAATGAATACCTGACGAAAAGGGCCCACGTTTCAAGGCAGTGAAATCTGATAGCTGAGAGGAAAAGTGGCTTTAATGAAAAGCAACCTTTGGAATTCCTGCTTGTGAAAATTCCGATTCAGCTTTTTTTTTTTGTTATTGCAGCAAGAAATGATCAGTAGCACCAGTGTTTATGGTATGTCAGTTTTGGGATCTACTTTATTTATACCGAATTTGAAAAATACACATCTTAATATGTCATTAGGATTGCTATTGATTTGCATGCTTTTAAAGCACGACGTACTGTATATATGTGTATGTGTTTTGTGTGATTTTATTTTAGGCGCTTTAAATTCCTGTTTAACGTTAAGTTTATTTTCTTCTTAATTTAGAGGTAGAATTTGTAAGCAAACTTACGGAAACCATTAACAGTAAATTATACATGTATGTAGATGTGTATCTATACTTTAAGAACTTATTGCATATTTTAAAATGTTAATTTCAAGATGTTCTATGCAAAGCTTGTATTTGCATATGACAAAGCTCAAGTTTTTTAAGTTCTGAAGGGTTCGTATTGCTCTGTTTGTATTTTTATTAGGCGATTTTATCCGTGGGTGCTTTTTCGTTGCAGTGTGGTTTTGGCTTGGTGTTGTTGATGCGCATTAAAGCACGATAGTGTTTTTTTTTTGTTTGCATCTAAAATAGTTGTAGGTTATAAGAAAACAATCATGTTGCGGTAGTATTTTCTAATATAGCTGCAGAACCACTTTTCCATCTTGCATAACAAATAATAAATACCTGATTTGATGGAATTTTTGCATTTGAATCCGCTGAAGTCAAAGGGACCTCTGGTGTAGATGTTTGTTTTAGATGCACATAATTTGAGGGAAGAAAATGTTTTAGGAATGAGAGCAGAGCCCTTCTCCCCGAGCTGTTCTGCGGAATGTGATTACCAGATGGGAGATTTCTCCGTTCTCGTGTTAAAGCTCTAATATATATTCAGAGCAGATTGGGCTGCTTGCTTCTGATGAGCAGGATATCGCATTTATAAATTTTAAATCGGGGGCAGGAAGGAGTGTTAAGATCTAGACATTTGATGGAGAAAATGTTTTTCTCTGATTGATGCTCATTAATAGTGTGATTTGAGGAAATGAAGATGATGTGATTAAATCAACGTCTATAGTTCGATAGTAAAATGTATGTGGGTGTGTGTATAATGTATGTATGTGTTCACGAATGTGATTTCATGCTCATGAATGTGTTTATTCGTATTTATTCGATGTTCTTACATTGAGTGCGAATTTACACGAACCGTCCATGAAAACAACGCAGCAAAATAATATTTCTATGCACATTTAAATAAATGTTGTTATTTTGGGGATTGGAGTAGTTCCAGTAGTTAGATGTTTTCCACAGGTTTGTAAAAAAAAAGTGAATAGCATTATCTTGTCAATATTGAAGTGTGTATTAATTGGCGTCCGTTATTAAGTGCGAGGTACCGGTATAATCCATGTGCAGTGTTTTTTTTTCTTCCGTTTAACTTGCATGTTTTGATGTTCTAGTAACTTAACTAACCATACGCGCTGAATTTTGAGATGCTCTGGTGTAATTAATAGTCTTGCTCCTTAAAATAGTCTTAGTAATCACAGTTTTCCTACTGTTTTAGAATTGGCTTTTCGTCTGTTTTTACATTTGTGTTGCAATATGCTCTTAAAGTGTTTTTCATTGTTTTTACACATATTCATCAATGTTGGCCAGGTTGCTAGTGTAAAATGTAGAATATGTCGCGAAACACTGTTAATGCCCTTTAATAGCCTTCTATGCAAAGTTTTAATGTTATGTTGAATTGGATAAAAGTGCTGGTTTATTTTTATTTATCTATAGTCAAATTGATGTTGACAGTTCATTTCGGCAGACGTCTGATTTCCACACTATATTCCTATACCTAAAAAAGTACTAAAAGGATTACATTTTAAGCCGCGGTTTTGAACTGGAATCACACTTGATTATAACTATCTATAAACTACATTTACGAAAAAATATTTGGATTTCTCAATGAAAAAAATCATAAAAATGAGAAGGTTAAACACTTCTTGGCTACCAAATGACAGCGTTTGTATAGCTTTTGTTTACTCTCACACCCACAACTACTGTACCTTCCAATCTGGCTAACAAAACCTAAGTACAATGTAAACTGCCAAAGTCATAAGTATTCAACTGGTACACAACATAGATGGCTCAGAACATGAGCCAGCACATTGTTACATAGCATTGTTACATAACATGCTGTTAATTCATATGATAAGATTTATAGTTTTTTTAAGCATTTAAGTCTAGTGGGATGTTATTCGCTATATGTGAAGTACTACAGAGATTAAACATCATATTGTCTTTTTTCTTAAACGGGTTCATTTTGATTCCAATAATCCAGTCTTCTCTTAAAACCCTTTGTTCTTCAAAACATTCTTGTGTTCTAAGTGTATTTTCCTGTTATTTAGCAAAAACATAAACCGTTCTAGCTCAAGTATGTTTACGTAGCTCTTCAGCAATGATAAAACTAAAGATGCATTATCCGGTGTAAACCAGTCCTGTACATTGTGAAAAGCCGATGTTAAACATTTCATTTTTATCCTTGCTTTTGATTACTATGCTGGTCATTTGTATGTGACAAGGCAATCAGTGTCTTCTGATTTCATTGGCAGTATTGTGGGTAAATAATACAAGCAACAATTGGTAGTTTGCATAAAATATAACAAAGTTTACTAGAAATTAAACAACTCTTTTTCCAAAAAAAAGCATATTGGGGACAAAAATCACTGTTAAAATATGGGTGTTATATACTAAGTGAATTTTGTTTTTGTGGTTGATTCTGGTCTGTGGTCCAAAGTTCATGATGCTTGTTATTTAACATCTATACAGCATGAACAATATAATGTGATGCACAGACTGTCCTGTGATGTGAAAAACAAGCTGTCACAATATCCTACGGGGAGTATAAGTGCTAAGTGTTTCAACAGACTATAACATTACTCAATATTTTATGTTTTATAAATAGTTGCATAATAATCTTTCCTCTGACAACCTGGTGACATGGGTAACCTCTTCATAAAGATGAAGTCTGCCAAGTTTCCTAAATTTTCCTTGTTTTTGTATCTCTGATAATTGAGGTCATGAACAGTTTTATCATTTAAAAAAGGTTGTTAGAATAAATGTGATATAGGGAATACTAATGATTAGTGTAATTTTCAAGAACTAGTTTGCTTTAGATGTAAATTTACATTCCAGCTACTTAAAGCAGTTTTTTTAAAACATACTCTTGAAATTTCCCATGTACAGAGATTATCAAGGATTTGAAAAAAACAAATATTAAGTTAAAGTATTTTTTACTACAGAGATTATCCAGAGACTATTACTCACCTTTCAGATAAAAGCCTTCTTTTAGAGTAATAACAAATATTTTGTTTGGTTTATGCCACATATATATGCGGTGAAATAATAACCTCATAACAGTCTAGCACTGTAATACAACTCATAAAACTGTAAATGTGTATATATAAGGGACAAATGGTACATTTTCCATTCTGCACAAGGAAAAACAAATCTAGGTTTAGAAGTTTAATAGGAAGCAATTGCCGTATCTGCATGAAAAAGCCTGCAACCTAAAGTTAAGAGTTCCCACATTATGAGGAGAAATTCTGAGTTAGTCCTGGTTTAACCTAGTGCTCTCCCAATAAGCATGCAAAATGACATGACAGCTCAGTTTATTCGTGATTGTGTGGTACTTATGATAGCAATCTGAGCTTGAAGGTTGACATAAAGCCTTACAGTTGAGTTTTTGTGGTATGTGTGATGACAGTTGCTGACCCCACCCCCTTTCAGCACTCTCTTTCCTTGATGTCTCGGATGTTGACATGTGGAGTGAAACATTTACTTAGATAGCTAGATAAACAGAGCTTCAGAGTTGAAGTTATGTTCTATGTTGGAGCCATAGGAAGGTCCTGAAGGTTGTAATGCAAAGGGAAGAGTGTGTAAATTAACTTACCTTTGCGCTTTGAATTTGCGCATGTATTTTGCAGTTGAATTCTGAACCTTTTCTTCTGTTAATTATGATATTTTTTTTGTCCCGTACTGAGAATGTCAAGGAAATCCCCAGGTCATTTGGTGTAAAATGTACACTTGATCTTTTGATTGGAAGGTAACAGATTGTGAGCGTGTAATTTTGTGTATAGCATAAATAAGGCTATTTTAATGTTGTGTTTCAGGAGGACATCTTATTCGGTGCCATTACAAAATATTGCTTTGATGTTTTTTTGAGAGTGGTAGCTGCATCTTATGAGCGTAAAGTAAAATTTAATGTGTAATGAAATATGTAACTATATGTTTTGATAATTTATTAGGAAATGCACTTTATTTAAAACAATTTTTGAACTCCCTTTAATACCTGTACCCAGTCTCTAAAAATAACGTCACATTAACAAAAAGATCATCACTGAAATCCTGACAATAATCTAAATAATTTCTGAAGCTGGAGGGGGGTGTGATTGATGTTTTATATACATATAGTTTTTGTAGAGACAAACCAACAAGATGAACAATTCTTCTTCCAGTCGTATTTTGTACCTATACGTGGATAACACTCGAAATAAAAAAGAACGGATCCGTGGAGAAGCCCCAGTAGGCTATGAATCAGTTTTGATTTCTGAGAAATATTGTGACATTTTTTTGTTTAAAAGGTAGCTGCGAGTGTGCTACGGTTAAATAATGAATAAGATGGTAATCAGCCAAACAGTATGTATGTTTTGGAATGGTTTACTTGTCATCTTTATGTGATATATTTTCTTAACTGTCAATCTGTTCTCCGTTTCCATTTTATGTTGCTCTGCCTTAACTCTTTTAGTTTTCTGCCAGATATTTTCATATATTGACAAGTGTCAGCGATGAATAATTTAGCATTCAAACCATTGCAATTTTATTCCTGAATGTCTCTTTCTTGTGAGTTTTTCACCACCTAAGTGTAAATGAATGTTCTAGTTTAGTGTTTTAAGCCAGAAGTTTTTATTGCTGTGTTTTTTTAGATGTGATTTTGAGCTGAATATTAGTCTGTGATAAGCAAGACTGCAGTTTGATTGAGTAGTAGTGCTACTTTACAGTAGTAAGGAAGAGGAAAAAATCTTCAGAACTGTTTATTTTACTCAA